AAACGACTCGACGGCACATAACAACAACAACAGTTTCAGTTTGATCATTTGTTCTACATTTTTTAATGTTCTGGTTCTTTTTCACATTTCATTTCTCTTATTTTCAAAAAAGTTGTGAATGTACTTCATTTTAGAAAGTTAAATAGTTCTGTAAGTCCTATGATTCTATTTTCTGCATTCCAGAGAAGCAGTTTTTAACTCTTGGCAATTGAACTGTTTGCTTTTTGTTAGTATTCACATTTCTATTTCTAAATAGCCTGCTTACTCTTCCATATAGTGAGTTTTCATTTTTAGATGTCATCTGCATGACTATTATGTTTTCATCAATCTCAGCTCTCCTCTGCCTTTTTCATAGTCCTCATCTTATCCTCTTTTTTTTCTCTTTCCAAACTTTAGTTCCATAGTCAAACCTGCTATTTCATTAGCTCTCAACACTTTTCTCTTGTTTTATTTTACTTATTTAGCAAGTCTCCAACCCCAGTTGAATTCACTTCACTTGCTCTATACCTCTTTTTGCCTGGAAAGTTTGTAATGCTGACTAAGTTCTCTGTAACTGTAGTGCAGGATCAGAGAATATTTTGGTTTTTTGTACATAGGATTACTATGAGTCAACTCATTAATTCCTACCAGTATCTGTCTATCTAGATCTATCTACTTATTTAACTTTTTATTGTGATTTGAGTAGAAGTTTACAGAGTAAATTTGTTTTCATAAACATTTTACTTCGTAACAAACATTGGAATCCCTACAAACAACTGAGCTCTTTAAATTCATCATCACAATCTTCAAGTGGGTTCTTGATGGCTTCCTATTATTCATTTACTCTCTCACCTTCTAAATGTCAATTTCACACTACCTCCTTTTTCTCAAACCACAGTCATCTCTTTTCTTTTCTGTAAACTCTTTACTTCCTACTTCACTGAAAAAAATGTAAGCAATTAGAAGGAAACTACCATAAACTCAAAGCCTGCTAGTATCTGAAACCATATCAATCTTATCATTTACTCACGAATTTAGGTTCTGGTTTTTCTTTTTTCCTTTTCCCCCAAATTTTTCTCACTATGCTGAATTACTCATCTTTATAAAAAGTACACCATTCTTTTTAAGAACATAAAAAGTAATAAAAACCCTAATACAAACAAAATCTGTGCTGACCTTTTCTCTTTTTGCTGCCAGTCTACTACTATGTCCCCAATAATAGAAAAACTCAAAAGATGTACTGCTTCTCATCATCTTACCCCACCATCTTCTAATAAATTACCCTTTGCTACCACAAATTGAGTTTTCTTAAGGGCACTAATGACCTCTATATTATCAAATTCATGGACCATATTCTCAGGCATCATCTTTAATCTACCTGTAGCATTAATGGGTTAAGCCTTCTCCTTTCAGGAACATGCTCTTGGCTTTCGCATCATATCCCTCAGTGTTTTTCTATACATTACTGTAGTATATTTTAATGTACATTACGTATATTATCAATGTACATTCTGTCCATTATTGGTAATGCATTTCATTCTCCTTCCCTGAGACTTCTCAATATTGAGGGGCCCCTGTATGCCATCTTTGTAATGCTTACTTCTCTCTGCCATGATTTTAGTTAGCTGAAGACTCTCAAATGCATATATTTCACTTGATCTCTTCCTTGAATTCCAGATTTAAATAAATTGCTGCCCATTCAACATTTCCACTGGGATATTTGATAAGGAACTCTGTAAAAAGAGCAAGGACCACGTAGGAAGAGCCATGCCTGACCTTTCCTGACTTTGCAAAGGAGAACTGTCCCTGTCAACAGTATCAATAGCACAAATCCAATTCCCACGACTTCAGCCATGTGCCCCATATTCTCATACCCCCATACCTCTTTCTACTCATCTCATTGCTTATACAAATACAAATTTGTATTGCTTTATTGGGCCCCAAATTCAATGCATTAGCTCACATACCACACAGAACAATGTTAGAGAAGATAAAAGGTTACAATCCAGGCTAGTAGCAAAATACAGTTAGGATGGCTCCTGAAATGTGCTCACAGGCACCACAGCCTTGATCCTCACTGCTTTAGATCAATGTTACAAAGTTCTCAGTCTTACCAATACTGGCCCTCTACCCAAAGTTGTCCAACAAACTTTGGAAAAGGCTCTTAGCTCCAGCTCCAATAATGTAGCAGTCCCAATGTCTCATCTTAGATCCGGTCTCTACTTTGGCCATGACTACTGCTGCCATATGTGGAGCTGGAAGAAGAATGTCTAGTATCAAAGGGTATCTTACATTCTCTTGCTACTTCTTTTTTTTTGCTGAAGCTGAGGATTTCTAATTCTCCTGCTGCTGGATTGCTCAGTTTAATGGCAAGACTAGCCAATCCCCTTGTGGATTGGTAGACAGTCAATCCCCTGGTGGATAGGCTGGCTAGTATGCCTCATTTGCATAGTGCCACCCATGTATATAGAAAAGTCAAACTATGGCTAGGGAAGTCATATTGAAAGCTAAACTCCACAAACTATAACTTAACCCAATCCAAATAATTTCTGGTCCTTCCAAAACTGGCTTTCCTTCTATTCTCCAAAGACAACTCTCTTATTCCAGTTCCTGAGGAAAAAATAAAACAAAACCCTTGGGATAATTATCAATGCTTTTCTTTCATGTTTTTAGGTACTACTGAGAGAGTTCAGACTCATAGTGACCCTGCATACAATAGAATAAAATGCAGTCTGACCCTGTAACATCTTCACAATGGTTGCTATCCTTGAGCCACCTTTTTATCATATCACACAATAAGTCTAGTAAGCAAACTTTGATGTCTCCACCATAAAAATATATTCCGAATCCAATCACATCTTTCCATCTCTACTGTTTCCACATTTATCTGAGCCACAATCTCCCAGATCAATTAACAACTTGCTCCGGTGGTCTAGTGGTAAGAAACTGTGCTGCAACTCCAAAGGCATGGAGTTCAAATCTACAAAATGTTCCATGGGAGAAGGATGAGCAATCTCCTGTACAATCCACTTCTGCTGAAAACCCACTGGAGTGTCAGCTATGAGTCAATGCAAACTCAACGGTATACAGCAACAACAATTGGTGTTCCTTCTGCCAACCTAATACCTCTCCCTATTATTATTGTTGTTGTTGTTATTTGCCATCAAGTAACCTGCAACTTATAGTGAGCCTATGTAAAACAGCTCTGAACTCTGCCCTGGCCCAGTCTCACTAATTACAACACTCCAACCCCATTGCCCAGTTACTGTATGATTCCATTTCATCCAGAGTCTTCCTCTCCTGCTCTGTCTGTCCCTCCTCCCTTCCAA